GCATGGTGCTGCATTATAGATGAAGTTTTAATTCATGAAGCTTCTCATTAACCAACCTTGCTTGCTTTCAGCACTGAACTTTCCTGGAGTTCTGTCAAAGCAGCTGATACATTGGCTGTTTTCTCGGAACAGAGATCCAGGTGAGATAGGGATGTCATTTTGTTTCCAGGATTTCTGACTTAGGAAGCTGCCTGCCACACGCACCCTTGTTCCCACTGGAAACAGGATCGCTCCAGTTTCAGGGCCCCTTCCTGAAATGAACCCATCTTTTCTTTTACATGTGAATATTTTATGGCTTCAGTAAGTGTCAGGGTTTCAGTGGGCATTCTGCAAAGGACACGGCTCTCACAGGATTGAAATTAAAAGAATTAATGTAACCAGCCTAGCAAAGCGAAGATATATTGAAGGGGAAACTGGTTTGCTTTTGTTAAACAGTCAGTGGCCAGTGAAATGAAGCAACATCACAGAAAAAATCCATTATTTTCTACTTATGAAAGAGAATATTTTTCCCACCACCATAACCACCTGAATGAAATATAGTAGACCAAGCCAATTATATTTTGCATGTGAATATGGTTTTTCCACAAATTACAAAAACAGGATTTATGCTTTGAATTGGGTCAAAATTAATAAGCACCCCCCACCCAAATAAGAATGAGCTCTGTTCCATTCATCTACCATCTGTATCATCTGATAGATTTCTCAACATCTAACAGTCTCAAAAGTCTTTAACTTTCCTTTGGAAATGTAAACAGCTTTTTGATATTTCCACTTCTATAGTCCTACTTAAACTAGTCACTGACTGCTTATTACAATATTTTTATTAAGCTTGTGGATGCTCAATTTACACCAGTTGGATTTACTGATAGCAGTTTTGCTACCTACTAATCATGTCATCCTGAGCAAGGCATTTAGATAGCCACAGGGTGCTTAGCCAGGAGAAGCCCCAATACTCAGTAAAAGTAAGTTGGGAGTCATTACAACAGTCCAACTCCTGGAATTGCTTTGAGATGATGAAACACGATGTTCATAAAATATCTTAAAAACTGAGCTAAGAGCTCCTAAAACATTGCTGCTTATCTTAGTGTTGCTGCTATGTACAGTTGTTAGAAGCCAGAGAAAATGGCCTCTCTTATCCATCTCTCTGCTCCTTCAAGAATTTTACTTTGTGACCCAGATAAGTGGCAGATGCTGAGTTTAGGTGGGCAAATGTAGCATCACCAGTAGAAACACAATGAAGTGACCAGAACAGACTATTGGACTACACAGAAGGAAGTTACGCATTTGCCCTCAGGATATAAAGGAAGGCTTCGTGCCCACTCTATATTGCTCAGACTTTGAAAGATGAAGTGAATAGTCTGTTTAGGGAGAGGGTGGAGAGGGTCATCCAAGAGGAGGGAATTGTGTACAAAAAGACACTGAATTATCAAAAATATTATTCCTTGATCACAGCAGAAGCCCAGACTTGACAAATAGACAGCAGGATGATGAACAGCCTTCCTAGCCTCCACACAAGATTTGCATTGTTTTATGTAATAGGAAGTCGAGTGGCTTGCGTATTCCAAGAGGCATAATATTTATGCAGAGCCAAGGCTGTCATTCAAAACCAGAAGGCTTGGAGGCCTAAATGGCACCATGTCATTTTCATCCCAAACAGAAAAGCACTATTTGAATCTCATTGTGCCTTCCGCGGTCTCATCCTAACTGCGATACTCCCACAGCAAAAGGTTGGCTAGAGTTGGTGGAGAATCAGTTTTCTCTCATTTTCTGCACTTTCTGAGTTCATGAAATTCTTAAGAGTCTCTTCCTGCAAAATGCTGTGATCCTCATCGCCCTGAATCATTTTATCTTATGGGAGGTCTATTTCCCCCTCCTTGGCTGGATTCCTTTTGCTGCTGAATAAACCATCCTAGGGCATGCTCCGGTTGGAGAATTTTTTGTAGTGTGCCCCCTGGGTCACGTCTCCAAATCAAGAGACTTATTAGTCCCAAATCAAGAGACTTATTAGTCACTCTAGATTTCCCGCAGAGGGGTGTGGGGAGGGGCACCAATGCTCAAGGGAAAAGAAAGAAAGAAAGAAAGGAAAGGAAGGAAGGAAGGAAGGAAGGAAGGAAGGAAGGAAGGAAGGAAGGAAGAAGGAAAGAAAGAAAGAGAAAAATAAGCGCTTATTCTTCCAGAGTGATCCCTGGGGCAATTTCATTAAGGCCTACATCACTGCTAGTCTTTTAAGGTGCTTTGCCCTTAATTTCTAGTTCTGTGAGTATAGGCTAGCTTCTCTGAGCGACCTTCACAGTTAACGAATTAATTATCTGCAAACCCAGTTAAGAAAATAGAACCTGTTTTCCTTTCATTGAGAATGGAGCAGTTGAGTTTATTCCCACCTGTCTATCAGTTTCCAGACATCTGCTCTTTAGAAATGAGAGCCAAGTGTGACGATTCGTTCCTCTTCATTCTGGAAACAACCTGTGCAAGGCAGGTGACTGACCCCTATGCTAGAGAAAAAAGAACGAAAAAGCAAAAAGGCATAAAGGCGTAGTTCTGGGGACAGGGCTGCCCCAAATAACTGGATAGCATGTGCGTGGTTTAGGGGGATGGCACGGACGCAGAAAGCTCTCCTTGCTCAGAGCAGACAAGTTTCTCCAGGAGAGTGTTTCTTTGCCAGAGCTGGGGAAATGGCTCCCTGGGAGGACGAGCAGGCCAGGCAGGCAGGCAGGCAGGCAAGCAGGCAGGCATCTGGGCCTTCCTGGGACACCACCAGGAGCCACGAAAGCGCCCAGGGCCTGACGTCATCGGCCATCAGCTGACTGTGCTCAAGGCCTGGGCAATCAGGGCTGCGGTGGGGAGTCGCGGTGGTCGAGGGGGTGGCAGCCGGGTGGCAGCCCTCCCCCCTGCGGACCTGGGTCCCCGGGCGGGCGCTGGCACCGACGGTAGGCGCTCATCGCGTAGCGATTTGGTCCGAGGTGAGCGGTGAGCGCCGCCGCCCCACGCTTTGTCCGTCCGCCCGCCCGCGCGCAGATCTGCGCTCTTAGGTGGCCCTGGAAATGTCTTTCTCCACGACCTCCTCTCTGCCCCGGGTGTAAGCGGGAAGAATGATCGTGTGCGGGGCACCTCTCCCTCCCCCACCCCCGTGGATGCCCCCGCCTCCCCCTTTGATCCCTGGAATGAAGAGTCCCGCAGGAAGCCGCCTGCCTCCGTGACGATGACGCTTTTGGGGAGATTTAGGATTGCGCCAGAAAGTTGGCTTTGCCTCCCCCCCCAAAAAAAAAGACTCCTAGAGAGGGGAGGACACCCACCCACGGGGACGCGGCGCAAAGCTCTCCCCGGAGTCCGTGGGCCAAGCGGCCTACGGGTCCCGGCTCTGCACCTGCCAAGGACCACAGCCAGTGCCTAAAAAAGAACAGCAGCGGCGCGGGGCGGGAGCGGCCAGCGCGAGCGCTGCCCTGGGGCGCGCGGGGGGCGTCCGGGCCCGCCGGGGCCCCGCGCGCAGGCGACCTCTCCCACCGCGGTCCGCGTGCGCCGCCGGCCGGGTCCCAGGCGCGGGGTCCCCGCCCTCCCCCGCCCGTCCCCGGGTGGGGGCGTGGCTTGGCGCGGGGGGCGGGGCTCGGTGGCCGCGGGTGGTCTGGCCGCTCTGACAGGTCTCCCAATTCCTTCCTCCGGTCCTGCGGCGCGCTTGGAGAGCGGAGCCCGCGCGCCACCGCGCTGCCTCCCTCCCCGGGCCCCGGAGACGTCTCGCCGACTTCCAAGCCACCGAGGCCTCGCTGCTCACCCAAACCCGTGGCATTCCCCCCTCCTCCCCTCCGGGCCACCCCCTGCTGCCCCCGACCTCGCCAGGCTTCGCTCCTCTCCTCGGGGCGGGCGGCGCAGGAGGAGCCACCACTCCAGAGATGTTGGCTTCGGAGCCCTTCCCACTTGCTCCTTCGGCGGCCCCCACTTCTCCGGGCTCGGGGCCCAATGGACTGCAGGGAGCGCAGTGAAGGGGGATGGGAACGGGGGGCGGCGACCCCTCGGAAGCTCAGCCGGCAACGCTGAACTGGTCTGCCCGCCGAGGCTGGTATCCCGGGGCCCGCGAGGCTCCGCTTCCGCCCGCGAGGGGCCGCCTCGGGCCTGGGCCAGCGCCGCGCGCTCAGTCCTGGCGCTGGAAGTGGCCACGGCCGGGAAGGAACCCGAAAGGGAGCCCGGGCGCCCCGCTCCCTTCCACTTAACTCTTCGGTGACTGGCGGGCGCCGCTTCTGCCCTCCCGGTGGTGGAGGGGGCGGGGGTTGGGGCACGATCGGCCACTTGGCCATCACCCTACTCCTAGGGTACCTTGCCCCCCCCCCACCTCTCCCCGTCCCCAGCTCCTCCCCGGCTCCCCGCGCCGGCGCCATGGAGTTGTCCCAAGGACGACGATGATCGGGGACGCCGCGGCGAAGTTCGCGCCGGTGACAGCCTGTGGTGACCCGCGGCCAGTCCCTCCGCAGCCGCCCAGCCGTGGGCGTCCGAAGCCCAGTGCCGCAACGAGGACCCGCCCCACGCGCGGCGCCAGCTCGGTGCCCGGGCACCGGGGCGCCTCGGGGAGAACCAGGGCTGCGCCCACACGCTGAACCTCCAACCAGCCCACGACGACCACCGCCACCACCACCACCCCCGCCGAGCCCCGGGGAGGGGACTGCGTCGCTCGCTCCGAGCCCGCTGCGGCTTCGGCGGCCGGGGGAATCTCCAGGGCCGCGCGCGCACCGCACGCTGTCTGCGCGCCTTGGCGGGAGGGCGGCTGGCCGCCGGGACGCGCGCGGGGGTCCCCCCACGGGGGTCATCCTGGAGCCCTTCGCCCTCGGGGGTGCTATGCCCTGACCCGCCAGGGTGGGGGCCGGGGAAGGGGCCCTGCCCGGGGCTCCTGCCCGCGGAAGATCGTCGGTCGGCCCGAAAAGATCTTGGCCCGGATCGGATCTCGTAGCAGGCCACCTTCGGCTCCCCAGCTGCCTGTTTGTGGTGGTGGTTGTTTGTTTGTTTATTATTTCTTCCACCCCCAGCTTGTGCGGCTTCCGCTCGGCGGCCAGCGCCATGGAGCTCTCGGACGTGCGCTGCCTCAGTGGCAGCGAGGAGCTCTACACCATCCACCCGACGCCCCCGGCCGGCGATGGCGGGAGCGGCTCCCGGCCGCAGCGGCTGCTGTGGCAGACGGCGGTGCGGCACATCACCGAGCAGCGGTTCCTCCACGGGCATCACCGCGGCGGCGGCGGGGGTCCGGGCTCCCGCCAAGCCTCCAACCCCGCGGGCAGTGGTCCCCCTCACCCCGCGCCGCCGCCGCTGGCGGGCGACGCCGCCGCCGCCGCCGCCGCGCTGCCCCTGTATTCGCTGGGCCCCGGGGAGCGAGCGCACGGCACCGGCGGCACCAAAGTCTTCCCGGAGCGCAGCGCCAGCGGCAGCGCCGGCGCCGGCGCCGGCGGTGGCGGCGGCGACCTGGGCTTCCTGCACCTCGACTGCGCCCCCAGCAACTCCGATTTCTTCCTCAACGGGGGCTACAGCTACCGGGGGGTGATCTTCCCCACCCTGCGCAACTCCTTCAAGTCTCGGGATCTGGAGCGCCTGTACCAGCGCTATTTCTTGGGGCAGAGGCGCAAATCCGAGGTGGTCATGAACGTGCTGGATGTGCTGACCAAACTCACCCTCCTGGTCCTCCACTTGAGTCTGGCGTCGGCCCCCATGGACCCACTCAAGGGCATCTTGCTGGGCTTCTTCACGGGCATCGAGGTGGTGATCTGCGCCCTGGTGGTGGTCAGGAAGGATACCACCTCGCACACCTACCTGCAGTACAGCGGCGTGGTCACCTGGGTGGCTATGACCACCCAGATCCTGGCAGCCGGCCTCGGGTATGGGCTGCTGGGCGACGGCATAGGCTACGTGCTCTTCACACTCTTCGCCACCTACAGCATGCTTCCACTGCCGCTCACCTGGGCCATCCTGGCAGGCCTGGGCACGTCCCTGCTGCAGGTCGTTCTGCAAGTGGTTATCCCCCGGCTAGCAGTCATTTCCATCAACCAGGTAACTAACTCCTGCTGCGCCTGCCTTGCTTTCCTCTTCCCATGGGTCTGGCTTACTTATACTAGGTTTCAGAGAGCCAGGTTGCCCCCCCTCTCCCCGTGCACCTCCCTCCCTTCCCCCCCCCAAGCCTGGTCCTGTGCCTGTGTTGGTTAGGATGGCATCTGTCCCTTCTTGGGGGCAGAGGGGTAAATGCAACAGAAGTAACCTCCAAAAGTTTCTCCCAACTCTGCTCCTGCAGTCATCGTGGGAGTGTTTCTGGGACATCAACTAGGAAACTGGTTGCCATTCATCCCCCAGGGTCTGCAACAGGCTAGGGAAGGAGAGGAGGAGCCCTGGGATTCAGGGGACCTATTGGTCAGTGCCTAACTCCTAAAAGTCACAGCAGGTCGTTGTAAGGGACACAGATATTCAGAGTTGAGTGTCTGTCGAGGTGTCTGTCACCAGTCTCCCTTTGGCAAGGAACAGCTTTTGCTAAATACATAATTGCCAGTGTGGGGGTATCCTACAATTATTCTCTCCCCCCTTCCTTCAAACAATCCTGTGGCACAGGGGTTTACTAGGGAATGTTGTATTGCTTTGGAGAACCTGCCACACTCGGTCCCCTCATCACGGTGCTTTAAAAAATATCGCCCTCTGAAATAGAAGGCTAGCAGGGTTCTTGACAAAGAATGCAAGTTCTGATCAATTTGGAGGGGTGGTGGGCATTTTGATGGAGAGGGTTTGAAATAGGTGGAATCTGATTGTTTGGGTCTTTTTCTTGTTTCTCCTCTTTTCTTTTCCCCTGTCTCATTAAATATGGATGTGTTTGTGTGAAGAAAGTTCACATTGTCTGTGGGTGAGAAGGTAGAGAAAGAATCCATTGTTTATATTCTCCAAAACAAATTGATAATTAATGACCTGGTACTTTCTTGACCAAATGTCTGGTAGGTAGATAGCAGATGGGGGTGGGGGGAGATAAACCGTGGGGAGAGTTCTCGATGAGAAAATCAACATGTCAGCCAAATTGGTTCAGAGAGAACGCCGCTGAGATGTGTCTGGGCAGAGGGCTGTTTTGTATGCACCTGCTGGCACCTGCTCTGTCCTCAGCCTCGGTCCGTTTTGCCGCATTAGAGGCTTCAAACTTCTCTGCCTGGTGGTCAGGTATGCACAGATGGTGTTTAGCGCAAGCAATCACATCAGCCTTGAAAATCACGGATGGATTTTTGATCACCTGTCCCATCGGAGTGCTTCACCTCTCACTGACCTTCGAGAGTCAACTGAATTTGGTGGCCTGGCCATTTTCAGATAGCTCTGTACCCATTGCTCAGGTTGCATCTCTGGTTGGCTGCTTTGACAATGCTTTTGCCATGTCCATTGGTATAAACCAAATAGCTTGTACAATTTGTGGTTGTGACCATCAGGGATGAAAAGTGGAGATGAGAGTGTCCAAAGGACTGGTGAGATGAACCTTTCCTTGTTAAGGCAACAGTGTGTGTGTGTGCGTGTGTGTGTGCGTGTGTGTGTGTGTGTGTGTGTGTGTGTGTGTGTTCAAAACTGTCGTGAACCTTTAATACTTGACACAAAATAGAGCTTTCATTCAGAAAACAAGCTGTTATATTCCTTGCTTGGGGTTGTCTAAACTTATATAATATCTTGTTTATGTTTTTTCATCCTGTGTACATGCAAATCTAAAGTCTTATATATATATATATATATATATATATATATATATATATATATTCTTCCAAGAGCTCTGATTTTTTCCTTCATTTTTGTTTTATATACATAGACATCCAGCATATATTTCTTCCTTCTCTTTTCCTTCCCCTCTCCCCCAATCTCTTCTTTTTTCCTGCTCCTCTCCTCACTTTAAAAAATCTAACATGAATATGAGATGTTTCCAGAACATATTACAGACATTATTGCACCAAATTCCATCTATTGGAAACCAGTGCTTTTCCAGCTGTAGACTTTCTTGGTACATGTTACTAAAAGACTCCATCAAGTAAGTTTGGAGTAGTATTTAGAATAACACATCCTAAGTGGCAAATTCTGAATATTGTCAAAGTTCTAAGTATAGAGATTTTTTTCCTGCCAAATGAAACCAGAAAGTAAATTTTGGCTTCATGTTTGTTTCATACTCTACTCAAATACTACCAGATGGGAGAAAATTAAAAATAACCCCAATGTCTTCCCACTCCCATGCTCCCCTGTGAAAACCAAGGTCCTGAGGCCTATAAACCAAGCCCATTCAACCTTCTATTTGTGTAGGTAGGGTTCTAGATGTCATTGTTCCGTTCACCTTTGGCCCCAAGGGAAGAATAACCCGCGTCTGGGCGCTCTCCCCTCAATCTAGGTGCTGAAAAAGTCCTTTAAGCACTTTCCTTTGGCGCCCCCTAGAGGTTTAAATTTCTTTAGTCGATCTTGCAGAATTAGACAAATCTCTTTATAGGATCTGTGAGGTATTATTTTTCCCCGTTTGCCACTATATTTGGCATGCTGAAAACCTGATGCTGACTTCTCATAGCAACTAGAGTGAAACCTGGCTCCTTAGCAGAGCCGACGTCATTCTTAAAGCTGATAGACGCTTTTCTTTATCTGCTCCTCCTCAGACACTAAGTACTGTCCATTTTTAGTTTTTCCAGTGTCCCAGTTTTGTTTTGTTTTTTTTCTACTTCTTGGCCTTTGTACCTGCTGCCTAGAAAGGTTTCTCCCTGGTCTCCATGAAACTGTCACATTCTTTGATCCAGATTCTCAAAGGCCACATTCTCTTTAGTGCATAAGTCGCTTGTCTCTCCAGAGCTCATAAACTATCTGAAATTATCTTATTTTTGTTTACTGTGTCTCTCTGCAGTACCACCCACTCATAAGAACCTAAATGTCACAGAGACAAAGAATTATCTATCATATCTACCACTGTCCCCTTTGCATTCAACAGTGAATGAACAATGAATAAACAATGTTATTCTTCACATGGATATATGATACAGTATCCAAGTCCCCTGGCTCAATGTTGATAAAAGCTTTTGCTGCACATGCTCAAATACAAATGTATGCATTTATAAATGTAAATACATATGTATGTGCACACACAAATAGGTTGTATGTGTGTAAGGCAATCTCTTACAAATATTTTTGTAGAAATCAAAGTTCAATGCATTACATTGTACATTTTTTACATAACTAGTGCCTTTCTGTGTGATACCATATCTTGTTATGACAAATGGATGGTACCATCCCTTATACTTACTTCAAAGAAATGATATTCTCTTTTAAACCAAGGGACATTGTGAAGATCAGGCCTGTAGCAAGTGGCAAGGGCAGGTTTCGAACCCTGGCTCCAATGCCAATCATTCTTCAGCAACCTTTTAAGGATCATCCTTCTAAACTAGCATTTGAAATTACTGAAGAATGGTAAGTATCTGTTTCTCTAATCAAAGCAGTAACATCCCATAAACCACATGAATGAATGTTGAATGAAAAAGCCAGAGGCAATTATGAGAGGAAAATGACAGGCAAGCTAGGCATAGATTCTCTACAACAAGCTTGACAGTCTGCTCAATTGGATCAAATTTGCCAACTAAAGGCCATAAGCCCTAGAATATCGTCTCTCTCAAATTAGTCTTAATTCCCTTTAAGAGGACAGCTGAGGTTTAAGTTAACATTCCCAAGACTCGGTAAACTGAAATGCAAGGATGCAGACAGCACACTGTTTATTTCTCTGCAAAAATGTCATTTGCAAAAGTAACAAATGAGCCCATGGTTGTCTTCCATGAATCCAGTCCATGCCTGGCTGCTTCTTTTCTTTTTTTTTCTTTTCTTTTTTTTGGTTGGTCATAGGGCTTGAACTCTGGGCTTGAGCGCTGTCCCCTAGCTCTTCAGCTCAAGGCTAGCATTCTACCACTTAAGTTACAGCACCAATTCTGGTTTTCTGGTGGTCTATTGGAGATAAGAGTTTCATGGACTTTCCTGCCCGGGCTGGCTTTGAACCATGATCCTCAGATCTCAGCCTCCTGAGTAACTAGGATTACAGGTGTGAGCCACCAGAGCCAGGCTTGCTTCTTTTCTTTACCTCCTAAAAGAAATGATATTTGTGGCTTGACAGGCTAACAATCATGCTGAAAATCTTTCTCTGTAGACCCCCTATGTGAAGAACAAACCCCCTTCTTAACTTGTCTTACAACTTGCTTGTCTCACAACTCTGGTCACAGGATGGAACCTAAAACGGACCCCTCAGGAGCTTCCTCACCAGAAAGGAAATGGTTTATATTTTCCCCCACTTTGTTAATAGACTCAAAACAAGCAGATTTCCTACCTAAGTAAAAGTGATTACAGTCCAAGACAAATATGTTCACCTACATATTATCTGGGTCAAGTGACACTAGAAATACTGAAGTTCAGTTCAAGAAGGCACAGGCCAGGCATCAGTGGTTCATGCCAGTAATCCTAGCTACTGAGGAGGATGAGATCTGAGGATCATGGTTTGAAGCCAGACTAGGTATCAGAGTCCATGAGACTTACTTCCAATTAACCAGCAACACAATAGGAGCTGTTGCTCAAGTGGTAGAGTGCTAACCCTGAGTGAAAAACCTAAGGTAAATCATCCACAACCTGAGTTCAAGCCCCAACACACACACACACACACACACACACACACCAGATTAAAGCTTGGTGCCTGTGGCTCACGCTTATAATCCTAGCTACTCAGGAGGCTGAGATCTGAGGATCCAGGTTCAAAGCCAGCCAAGGCAAGAAAGTCCGTGAGACTGATCTCCAATAAATCACTAGAAAACAGGAAGTGGCACTGTGGCTCTAGCGGTAGAGCGCTCACTTGAGCTGAAGAGCACAGGAACAGCGTCCAAACCCAGAGTTCAAGCCCAGTGATGGACCAAAAACAGAACAAAACAAAACAAAGAAACAGATTGAATGGCTCCTTTTATTTTGTTCTGACAAAGCTCAGTCATAGATAGCAAGAAGATTAGTAGCTACTTCTCCCTTAGGAAGCTCCACCCAATTCAACT